ATGAAATGAAAAGTCGTTTTGAACAGTCACAAACAGGTCCTGCATGAACAGGTATCGGACACAGTTTTCAAGACTGAGTTAGGGTCATGTCTCCTCGATGGAAAGTCATGTCTGTTCGGCAATGAGTCAAAGGCCACAGTCCCAGTCCAGTCRTAATCCCACGAGTCAGTCCTGATTCAGACCAGGAGTCCAAAAGACAGGCCCGATGGCCCAAAGCAGCAGCAGACCATGGGAAAAGATACTGGGACATACACTTTGCAACAACGGGTACTGGGCAGGAGTCCCGGACACTTGAGGCTGAATACAGGCCACGCCAGACCAGTCCAGCACTATAAAGGACTGGCCAGCCTCCTCGTTTGGCAGATGCTCACTTCGCATGAGAGTGTGGAAGTGCCGTGGCGCTTGTGCGCTAGTGTGTGAGCTGCGCTGGGTTGAAGAGCAGCGCTATGTGAGAGGGAAGTGACCGCTGGCTGAAGAGAAGGCAGCCATAGCTGCGCCAGCGCTAGTTAGTATGCTAGTAGGGGTAGTCAGTAGGATAGTTCAGTGAGTAGTATTCAGAGTAGATCCTCGTGTGATAGGGAGTGTGCATGCATGATGAGTGTGAGTAGACCAGGACTATAGACATAGACAGAAGGAGAGAAGAAAGCAGACAAGAGAGGAGGAGGAGTGAGCTATTGTGACGCTTACCTGTTGAGCGCTGTTGTTGACGTTCGGCAGCTGGCGCTGATGTGCGCCAGGTTTGGTACTCATGTTGTTCGAAGAAGACTGTAACTCTGATTGGTGCTATACACTTTGGACTCACGAATTTCCTCTCTTAATCTGGTTATGATAAATGAGTTGAGCTTCCTGGTCCTCATTCATCTTCTATTGGGCCTTGTGTGAGTCATCACAATCTATGAAATCTGTATAAATGCATGTCATCTGATGCACTCCAGCAAGTGATGAACAGTCGGGTTCCTTGCACATGTTTCATTGTTATGCCCTATGTGCTGCATGTTCATTATCTTGTCCATTGTTTTGCTGTTGCTTTTCTTCAGCTTTCGAAATCACCCTAGCTTCCGTTCCTTTGCAAGGAAAAGGGCAGACGAGGGGCATCCAGATGCACTTGCTGATGTTCTGGTGGCAATGAGCACAGGAAAACAAGAGTAAGTGCCCCCTGCTTTATAAGTTTACCCGCTAGGTCCTTTTTTCTTGTCTCCTGCTGAAAATGGTGGTGGTAATCAATACTACAAACCTCCTGCGCATGCCAAAGAGAGAGATCTCAAACTAGTACAACACACAAGAACACTTCCTTCTGTTCAGGCTGAAGGACCCCCTGAACCGGACTGTTGGTGGAAAAGGAACCGGACTGCTGCTACCCAGAATGGAAGGGAGCCAGGATGATAAGGCTGGTTTAAACCACCACTACGTTTCAGAGGCAAAGGCTAAGTCGTAAATAAAAGCTATACCACAGTCTTCGGAGGCCAGGCGCCACTGGACCAAAATGGCTGGCGGCACCACCCAAAACAAAAGAAAAAAGGTCGCGCTGGTGCTTCGGCAAAGCTTGGCGCGCAGTTCTTCTCCACCTTGGCAAACGGAGGCTCAGAGGTAGTGGTGGTTTAAGAGAAGAAAGAGGGAAAAAAGAAAAAAGAAAGTATTTCAAACTAAAATGTTTCCTTGTCCTTCTCTTTCCTCTTTGTTTTCTCTTATTTGCCTGACCGTGTCATAGGAGTGTGGCCTCCAGGATGTCCACTAAAATTGGAACGATACAGAGAAGATTCATGGACCCTGTTGCAAGGATGACATACATAAATCTAGAAATGGTCCAAAGTTCAAAAAAAAATAAAAAAATAAATAAATAAAAAAATTGTAAGAGAGTGGCCTTTTGGCTTTGTTACGGTCAAGTTGGGCTAGTGTTACACAGCATGACTGTTCCTTCTTTTTCTTTCCGGGGGGCGGGGGGCGTGGAAAGAAGACAGCGATAGTCCAGTTCCTTCTCCACGGTCAAGTTGGTTAGCGTTCCACAGCATGACTGTTCCTTCTTTTTCTTTCCCGGGGGCAGGGGGCGTGGAAGGAAGACAGCAATAGTCCAGTTCCTTCTCCACCAGCAAGTCAGACAATGTAATAATACACACGCTTCACCTCGTTACAGCCAGTGGTAATGCACAGAGGGCACATTGCAAGTACGACGTCATCACACAAGCTCAAAGATCACTGTGGAAAAGGAAAGGCAGTGATCTTTTCTGTGCTTCGCACCATTACAGTGCCTATTGGAAACTGATACGAATTTGGATTTTAACGTGCTGGTGTTTTTCGACTGTAGGAATACTAGTGGGAAGTTGGTGGGCTTATCATGAGCTAGATTGGGGTGGTTGGTGGTTTTGGGATCCAGTAGAAAATGCATCTTTGAGGCCTCGGGTATTAGCTACAGCTTGTATTCATTCAGTGAAAATGTATCTTTGATGCCTAGGGTATTATCGGTTGAATTCTTGGACCTTCTTTTAAACATTGTTAGTTTTTCATTAAGTCTTTTAGGTACTCTGCCTACTTCAGCTTACAGAACGCTCCGCTACTGACCCTGAAGATCAATGGCAAACAATAGCACTTTGTGTCCACCTTGTCTTGCTGCGGTGCCTGGAGAGGCGGTTGCAACATTGGTTTTGTTTGGTCTTGTCGCTTCGGTGAGCCCTGATCCATTTCCGGGCGTGATGAAGTTAGACCAGTGAGCTATTACGCTTTCTTCAAAGGACGGCTGCTTCCAAGCCCACCTCCTGGTTGTAATGGCTCGATCACTTCCTTTCCCACTAAGTGATTGATTTAGGACGTTAGCGTACGATCCGGGCTGTTTCCCTTTTGACTTTGTTGGATCTTAGCACCCAAAGCTGTCGGCCCAAAGGTGGTGCAGAGCGCTCAGTAGGCAGTAGGCAGTAGGCAGTTTCTGCCTCCCCTTATCTGATGCAATTAACGCTGAGAAACAGTATATTTACTTCAGAGCAGGGTTGAATTTGCATGTGGTGAGAGCAGGGTTGAATACCTGCCGCCGCCAACCGTATGGTAGCTGACCAGTAGGGCCGACCAGTCAGAAAACAGCCATCCACTGATTTGTTTTCAAATCTGTGTTGGGAACTGTACTGCGCTTGCTGAGAACAGCCCAAATCCGCTGAGAAACTGTTGGGGATG